CAGCCACTTGTTTTGGTTGATGCTAGCACATATCGCGAATCTGATACGATACAAGCTTCCAACGATACAATTTTGCTTCTTAATGTAGTGATGCTGTGTGTAAAAATATCTGCATTTCACATGGGATTATCTGCAGTTGTTTACTACTTTTTCCGTACGTGGATTTTTGCAGAGCAACGATCATGTGACTTAGAGGCGACAACTGTGCTACTACGGAGTATTAGATACTCTTAAAGCATCTTAACTGAACCACATTATATAATCTCCTAATTCAAGTGTCACTTCGACTAAACTCCGCGATAAAAGTACTCATCCTTTAAAGACACTACATCCAGGTGCACCACTTTTAAACTTTTAATGCTGCTTTAGTTCTTTCCACGCATGTCGTTCTTACCCGAAGTGTTTTTGTGTGAAATTGTAGCGACGTCTCATAGTTTAAGGGTGCAGGCGTCCAGAGTTGATAGGGGAAGTGCGGGCGACCAGTGAATGTAGCTTTGGTGGCAACTAAGAAATTGTAGGGTTGGAGAGAGGTTTGAGTCGCTTCAAATTTGTCTTGGTAGGACAAAAATATGGAGAGTTCTCTGAAATTGATGTATTATAATGTGGTGAGGTGGGTACGCAATACTTTATATTCACTCTTTGATTGCGATTTAGCACTAAATAAATTGGCCCGGTGGAGATGGTCGATCGAATTGGATATGACGATGTGATGCAGTGAGCACCCTAGTCTTTCAAACATAATAAATTTATTAAATTTGAACTGCAGTCATCCCTTCGACAACTTATAGGATTGGTGGAAACAAATTCGATTTTTTAAACGAGTTATGAGTTAGGTAAATTTCCGAATGTCTTTTTGTGAATAACGTACGGGCCCCACAATTAATTTCTAATAACTCGTGTGCCAGGAACTGTCGCCAACGCACAAAGCCTTGTGGTATGCCAGTAAACCGCCAATTACACAAATATAGTTATTGTATTATGGCAAATTGGGCTTTCAGCAAGTTTGCATTTCAGATCACCCAGATCGATGTATTCGCTCATAATCGAGAAGTAGGCTAATCTAAAATATCTTGTAGCCAAGAAGATTTCCGGAAAAATGCTGAGAGGTGCTTGGATTCCATAGCTGAGGAATACCTGTCAACTTGGGTGCTTTTATACAAATCACAGAATGTCTTCCCGATTGGAAAAATCATTGAAGTCAAGGCCAGGTAATTTTTGGACGACTTAGCCCAATTGAGGACACCGTCAAATTCTCCAGTGCAAAAGTCTCACCGCTTTCAGTAGATAAACGGGCCGCGCAGCATCAGAATGTACGGCGAGCGTGATCAGCGAATGGAAAATTATCCAATGCAACATTGCCTGGACTTTGGCTGTAAAAACTCGCCGCGAGCGCCAAGACGTTTCTGACATGATCAAGAAATGTGTAAGATTTAAGAAATGTTTTTTAGGCAGGTGTTGTCTAAAAGTATGTATAAAATAAATTGAATTACATCATAATAAAAAGAAGACAGCTAACTAAAAAATGATTGAGTGCTTCGAAAAAAATGCTGCATTAAAACCTCACTCGAGTTTTTTCCTTAACACCACACTAGAGTGGTTTATAACTAAAGATGAAGCCTTATCTGAGATAGAATAATCGGGATAAGACTGAGCGAAAGAAATCGAGATAAGAAACGAGAGATTAAACTTGAAAAGGATTGACAAATAAATTAGAATAAGTTTAAAAGAAAAAGCGTGACAAGACGATGTCAAACAGACGCCAACACAAGATTCGTGCTATAACTTTTTCATTCTGCAAATTTGCTCGTAATGAGAAAACGGTCGGGTCGCATGCCCCCGCGCTAGTTGGCGGCCCGTGGCGCAGTAAGTCCCTGTGCCGTATAATACGTGGGTAGGCCCGGCTGTGCACATCCTGCAAGAAATATGAAGAAGCAAACGAAGCTTCTCTGCATGAGGTATGTGCACACCAAAGAAACGTATTTTGAGCAAATTACTTTGTTTTTCTCAGTGTTTTAAAGCAACAAGACTGCGATCAATCCAAATGACTTGAACTGATATGGTACGTTTGATGCAGTTTCACGCTATTTTTACCACATCTCACGTTGCCCAACGTAGGTGTGCACTAATTAAGAATCAAAACTTATAGTTGGATCGTTCGAGAAGTCAAGCTCGTACTCGTCGCCGTCGCCGTCCATATCACAGCTGTTGCCGTCATCTAGGAGAGGTAAGTGCAAGAGCGAGTCAGCGATGTCGCTCCTGAACACAAGTCGCTGGAAATGGAGTCCGTACTCTTCGTGAGCGCCAAATCATCTTTTTCTCCGAGAAAGCAGATGCGGAAGCTGCGGCAAATTGATGGCTTGCTAAACTCCGACCACGCGTCCTTGATCTAGCCGACGATCATTGAAAGAGACGGTAGAGAACATTTCCACCTGCAGAATAGGAGTGAGGTCCATGCTCCTTTCTATTGTCCGTCAGGTTGGCTTGGTGCTCTTTTTAAGAGTTTAAAGGAGCCGCAATCGCAGGGCTAGACAATGAAGACAGACTGCTGGGGATGATTGCGTACAGGATCTTACGAGCCTGTAGGTGTGTCTTTATCTTCTTCTTCTTCACGTGACTCGATGCTGAGTCAAAAAAATCTTGTTCCGCGGGTCCGGGAAACGTAAACATGTAGTCGACGTATCGAAAAAAACGAGTCCGAATCCACATGCAATTAGGCGTTGGTGATAAACTGGATCCTTTTTTTTAATGCGAGATCGTTGACTCATTTCCCTTGTCTAGAATACATGAATCTAACTTGGTCGAGTCGCCGCGAACAGCAAACACAGCAAGCAAGAGAATCTTCTTGGAGCCTAGAGACCTGACGGGAAGGTCGGCGGACCCGCGATCCGCCAGTTTAGACTCATTGTCATGGTCATCAAAGACCGCGGTCTCTACCACATTGATGACGTTTTGAGGCTCGACATTGTTTTCACCGACAAGCTTGCGCAAGATGCAGTCGGCACCGCGCGAGGCGATAACTTCAGCACTCAGTTTCGAACTTTTGCAAGACTACGTTGCGTTGACAAAAAAGAAAAACTCAAGCCAACCATTCAAGAGAGAGAGAGACCGGGCTGCTCTGCCATCTTCCAGAGGATACTTGCCGCTATTTCCACGAACCGGCAGCGATGAGAACGTACGGGCTTAAAATAAATTCACGAACTCTAGCGATGAGAAGAGAGTCCAGCTCTTTACCGGCAACACAGCGACTATCCCCACCAAGACGGAACCTGCTCAGCGACTCCTCGTCAAACGCGCCATTATTGTCTTGATGGACCAAGTCGCAGATGCAGCGACAGTCAACGTTGTACTTGGAGGCCAAGAATAGTAACGATGCCTTCTTCGCCTCACTTGCAATCTTCTTTTCGTCGCCGATAGTGTAAAGTTCGCGTCCTATGGTTGATCAGGAAATGAAATCCTAGGCTGTGCATTACCAGCAGCTATTGCAGAGAGCATGCTGGAGCGTTATCACTTTGACGTTTTGGTGTTTTGATAGGTTCTATTGCGATTAAGGCTGCTCATAGTTACTTCCAAGTGGAGTTCTGTTCGAGGGGGGGTCAGTTGGAGGGATGGGTTTGTGGAATAACCTTCAGGGGCACATGTGATTTTGTTGAAGGGGATGCTCAAATTGAAGGATAGGACTTAAATCAGGTTTTACAGTAAAATCAGAATTGAATCAATATTAAAAAAATTGAATTTGGGACTTTGCAGCTCAAAAACAGTTAGTTTTATTTTCATTTAGATACGGATCTCTATTACGTTCACGGCCATTGCGGATAGTACTTCAGATGTCCATCCGTATGGCTGCCACCACTCTGAGACCCTTAATTTCTAGTATTCACTTGTTTATTGCACGTAGACACTTAGTCCCCTTCAATTGTGCATTTATTACAGGAACATAATATCCTTGGCTCAGGAGTATAATCGTTTAAAATTTTGTCCCCCATTTAACTCATATATTTACACTTGTTGTGGATTACGAGTTATGAGTTAGCGACCACGGAACGAGCATGGTGGAACGCAATTTGTACACGTTCTTTGAGTTATGAATTATAAGAGTGTGAGTTATCCAAGGAATTAGTGTACTGCTTCTTCATAAACAACGCCGTGTGCCATTTCTTTTCGGACATCTGGACAAGAGTGAAAGCTTCGCGGTTTTTAGCCGCCAGTCTGTATCACCTCCAGTGTTTGTTTACTGCACGGGGATGCTACATATGGACCAATCTGCAACGACGGGTTGCTGAACAATGCTCAGCGCTCAGCCAGCAAATGCACATTCAGCTTCAGTCTGTCTTAATGTTGTCAAATGCGTGAGGAAGCACTGAATCCTCCTATTTCAGGAGGCCGAAGCTTACAAATAGGTAGAAGACGACGAAGAAAACAGAATCGATTACGAAAGTTGTCACATCCAACGAGCAGGTGTGGTACAAACGAAAAAAAACCAGAGTGCTCTCACTATTCTCTAGTACGTATTTTGATCGGGAGAACGCAAATTTATGGCGATGGCCAGATGGTATCATTTGTCGTCGAAATGTAAGCAGTAACGGCACAGAAATAAGTGCATGTGTTGTGCAAGCCAGTTCAAAACCCGCCACCTTCTAGTTCCCAACACTCGACGTCGTCGACCCTCGAGCAGTGCAGTTCCCCAGTGTATTCTTCCACACACAACGAGCAGCGTGTGCATTTCCTGCTCGCTCTCCCGTCGCGCTGCCCACAAGAGCAAGAACCGCTTGGAGACAATCCACTCGGCACCATCAAACGCACGTGCGCAGCCTCTTATTGGCGATTTCTTGCTCGCTGACAATTCTAACGTCGTGTATTGTCCATCTTGCCAGACTTTCTACATCTGATACATACGAGGTTCCAAGCCGCGACCGAAACGACCTGCCTAGAGCCAGAGCCAACACCCACCTATCCAGATAGATAGACAGACAGACACACAGACAGACAGACACACAGACACTATGGGATGCATGAGCAGCAAGCCGAAGAACTGTCCGCAGTCGCCTAATACTGCGCGATACAATGAGCCCAACTACTCAGGCCTCACGCGCAATATGGACAGCGGTGGCTTCACAGGCCAGCAGTCGCGTCGGTCGTCTGCCCAGTCATCGACTCGCAATCCACGCACGAACGCAGGTGCCGCGACTACGAGTGGCAGCCGCGAGGTCACGGACAAATGCTTCCCAGAGCTTGTCAAGTTCCGGTTGGATGAGACTGAGGTGCTGCTGACCCGTAAGGTCTCGAGCGGTGCTTTTGGGGTTGTCTGGTTGGGCCACTACCATGGTCAACCTGTAGCGATAAAGCGCATGATTGACGGGGAGGATGAGGCCGTTTCCTTCTCTCGCGAGATTGAGACCATGTCGAGACTATCGCACCCCAAGATTGTACGTTTCATTGGCTGCACATGGACGAATAAGAAGGATTTGGGAGGTGTGTCCGAGTACATGGATGGCGGTGACGTCCGTACGTTGCTGGAGACCCATAAGATTGAGCTCAGCTGGAAGAAAGAAAAGATTTCTATTGCTATTGACATTGCCGAGGCACTTGCCTATATGCACTCGCGCTCACCGAAAATAATTCACCGTGATCTCAAGTCACGTAATGTGCTGTTGAACTCGAGCATGGTGGCAAAGTTAAGCGATTTTGGTCTTAGCCGGAACCGCACGTATGAGGAGACACTGACAGCTGGTGTGGGCACGGTACGCTGGACGGCACCTGAGGTGATGTTGGGTGACAATTACAGTGAGCAGGCCGACGTGTACTCATTCGGTGTGGTACTGAGTGAGCTGGATACGCGTGAGATACCTTTTGAGGAAAAAAGCACGAAGACAGGAGCCAGCGGCGCGCCCGATATGGCTATTGTGATTAAGGTGGCTAAGGGCGAGCTGCGGCCAAGCTTTGCACCGGACTGTCCCGATGTTATTCTGCGTATTTCTCGTGCATGTCTGCAGTTCGACCCGGCACTTCGTCCAGACAGCGAATCGGTTGTGCAGATGCTGAATGATGCGCGCGCACAGCTTCAGTCTACGTCATAAGCGTTACATGCAGGACCCGCTGACCAGCGCAATTGCGTCTCTTTCGTCAGCTGGTATCGCTGTTAAGTATGAGCTGGCGCGGTCAGACGCATTTTGAAGTGGTGTTAAGGTTTCTCCACCGCAAGCATCCGCTCCGGTATAAAGCAAACGAAAAGCGACAAAAGCAGACCGACCGGACGTCTTGCGTTGTTCAAACTGGGGACGAGAGAAACGACAATTACCGTATATTCGGTTGTCTGGTCAGGAGTGAGTAAATAGCTGATAGCGGAATGGTTGGGAGAGGCGGCATGGCAGCGTGACACATCAGCACTCGCACGTTTGGCATTCGCTCTTGTTCGACCCTCATATTAGCAGTTGTGATAATTTGTTCCAATTTTTACCACTAGCTCTCAGTGCAATCTTCGCAATGTCTTGTCAGTACAATCACTTTAAGTTTCCAGCGCTCCAGCCCTTGCTTAGAGAGTAGGGTGGGGTCTCATTCTTTGCCACTCTTAAGTCGACAGCGGAAACGCAGCTGCCGGCTTGACCCGGTAAATCCGAACGATCCATTCACGTGAGGTAAACACGTGCTGAAAATGGTGTAGATCAATGTCCTGCTGCGATATTCTCACTCGTCGATTCAAATCCCAGCCAAAAACGGGATCTTTGTCCTCTGTGCCCATCGAGCTCCGCACTTGGTTAAACTCAAAATAACTGAGCTTGTAAAGAACACTTTCCGTCATGGCGAGAGTTGCATTCTCATGAAAAATATATTGCCCATTCACTTGAAACTCGGACTCAATGATATCGTCAGGGAACACTCCCTCTGAGATCTTGACTATCCACGGCAACTTATCGAGATCATCACCAGGCATGCCAACTTTGCCTCCGAACTGCAAGAAAACGTAGTTGACACCGAAACTTTGTAAGATTGGCGCAGCATCATCTTCTCGAGAGACTAGTACACGACCAACAGTAGCAATGTGCGTATTATTCCACGTATTGTTGTCAACTAATACTGTACGATTTGCCAGCGTGGCGATCTGGTATCCGTAGTCCCACCAGCTCAAAATTTTGGCGTTTTCGGGAGTATTTTGTCGCAGCCAGGCAAATGCTTCACGGTAGTCGTCGTGCAAGTCCTTTTTCATTGTTGTCATGTTCATTTTTTCGAATACAAGTGACGTTGATGAGAACACTTTCTTGGCAATCTTGAAAGACTGACGAACGTGAATAACGAGGAGGAGCTATAACAAGGTCCATGAGTCGCACTGACACACATTATCAAATAGAACAAGACTACGTACCCCACAAGCGACAGCTAGTAGCAGTAGCGCTTTTGGAGCCTTCCGCTTTTTGCTATCAACCCTTTCGTCAGACTGGAAGCGCAACATAGTGCCGACGGCTGAAAGAACGTCTTCAATAGGCTCCTCTTCACAATGTCTTTCTTCGCCTCCTATTGCAACGGTACTTGACGCCCCATTCGTCGTCTCTGCTTGACATTCTTCCACCTCATCTGGCCCTCCACGCGTACTCTCGATGATTTTGTGCACGAACCCGGATAAACCAACAGCTGAAAGATAGCACGCCACTGGAGCCAGGGTGAGCAACAACCGAACCATGATACCTGAAAAGTAGAAAGCAAATGTGCTGTAGACGATCATAAAGACGGAGGCAGCGTCCATCTTTTGAAACGTGTAAAACAGTCCCAAAGGAATGAAAAGCATCGCTGGTCCAAGTGAGAAGTAAAACGCTGACCACACAGTCGGTTGGTGTTCTCCCACTGATGCAATGATTGGAATGTACTTGGACGCGTACGTTGGATCCAGTAGTGTCAAACTTCGCCCACTCCATTGAAGTTTTCCCAGCAGAAGTACGAGCAGCAACCCGCCAACGACGATCACAGTACCGGTCCTCACAACAATTCGAAGAAGCTGCAAAAAGTGATGTGGCGAGAGCTGTGTCGACAACCATTGCATAAAGGCGTAGACTACATTCAGCAATAACAAGAGCAAAGCCACCTCTTAGCATCAGTTACCGAAAAACAAAGATCGAGCAAATGAGGGACCACAGCAACACGCCACTCTTCGATATCCAACGGACCTTGCAGAAGCGCGAACACTCCGTGGGAACCAGCATTCTCACCCTTGAGGACTGCATTAAACCCAATAAAAGGCACCTGCATCACCCCGAGCGTCGCAAGCGGGTAAAACGTCGAGTACGCCACATAGATCCTGGATGAGTACTTGCCCGATAACAGCATCACCAAGACGTGAATCGGGATGAGATTTACAATGAACACGTATCCTCCCCATGAGAGCGCCATGGCAACACACCCACCCGCAGCCAGCGCCGCCCAGAGCATCAAACCCGTCTTGACAGCCTTTACCCACAAGTAGAAGGTAAAGATCAACAGAGAAATGGCAATTCCTTCATTGTCGAAAGAGCCGGCAGTAGACCGCGAGATGTACGCGGGCGAAACCCCCAAGAGCATGGCCGACAGCAGCGCCGTCGGGACGTTTCCTGTGACCTCCAAAGTGAGCAGAAACTGCGCCACGCAGGCGAGAGCGGCAAGTGCTGGTGCAAAAAAGACACAGGCGTCGCGGATCGAGAGCGGGACTCGTAGGAATTGGCTCAAGAGCCACTGCAGCGCCACGGCGCCGGCCATGAGACCGGGGTACACTGTCGTACCCACCACACGACCTAAGGGATACCATGCGCGGTCATCGAACCAGTCCAGAAGCTCGTAGACACCGTGCTGAGCGAGGAACTTGGTGACGCGGAAGTTGAACTGGGGGTCGAATTCATGAACAACCTGCGAGAAAGCGTGTTACGAGAAAAGGAGATGGTCAGAAACGCTGCAGGAAGGTGTGGAAGAGGCAGCAGATACGTACACTTCCCCACTTGATGACTGGGAAGAGGCGGATGGAAAAGCTCAGCACGCAAGTGGCTGCCAGCAGCCCCGACGACGTGATTGGTGTCATCTGCTCGTCAACTACTTTGACTTGAAATTGGAATGGCACCGTCGAGCGACGTTCGTGTCACCTTGGCCAATTGGTTGAAGTGACCATCATTCCGTTCCGCACTGCGGAAGTTGCCTTTTAGTAGTCGACTTAGACCAAACGAACAAGGTGATGCCTGTAACAAGAGGAAGAGCGCGTATGATGGAAAGCCAGGAGGACGACATGGACGAAGGTCAGTCTCAGATGATGCAGGAGATAGAGGAGGAAGTAGAAGAGCACGACGAGCAGACGCCGGCCGCAGCTGAAGCGCAGGATGAGGTCAACTTGAAGGAGATGGCCAAGCAGGTGAGTCTGGCACACTAACTGCGATAAACAACTCATCAGGCGTAACGTGAAGTTGTGACCCCTACACAGCTGACGAACACGCTCAAGCACCTGCTGACGACGCACCGGTGCGTTTTCCTACCACAGTTCTCTTGTAATATTTGACTGGCAATCTAACTCAAGCGCAGCCAGCTGGAGAACGATGCGGCCATGATCCAGGCCGGAATGGACGAGCTGTACCGCATGCAACAAGACGTACGTTAATGGTGTTTACAAGGAGGTGGCGGTGAGGTGTTCACCTCTCGTTTTCTTTTTCTTGTAGCGAGCTCAGCGCATTGTTGGGAGACTCAAGAACGCGAGCTCCACGATCTTAACGTTTGGCGAGGCGACTCAAGACGCACGAAGAGATCGCCCGGAGCAAGACGAGAACGACTGCGAGGAGGAAGATGAGGAGATGATGCAGTAGCGAGCGCAAGAGCGCTGCTAAAAAGGGGGTCCTCAACTCAAGACGTCAATCCTCCGTCAGTCTTGTTTTGCTTTCTGACACAGATCTAAGTTGTTTCCCAGCCCGCTACAGAGCAAATTGGAGTTGCAAACCGTGCCATCGAGAGCATTACAGTGCTACCTTCAACACCCGTACAAGGAACACGCCTCGTTTACGTCAAAGCAGTAGACCTTTTCGTATCTGGAAATAGTGCACGAGTTTCTCTGTGCCACGGACTCGCAGCAGCTGAGAGTCACCTCACTTCTTCAACAAATCAAGATCATCCACGTCTTGCAGATAGAGGCTCTTGTCCATCACTGCTGCTGCTGCATCAACGGCAGGGACCTCGTTGTTATCGTCCTCTTCCTCACTGTGAATAGAGTATGCCTCATCATCAGCATCCGCATCATCACGGAATAAGGTCGGGTCGAACGTAAATAGCGCACGACCACTCACTGCAGTAAAAAAACAGGAGGTAATAAAGGCGGTCAGCAAAATCTCTACGATCAGGTAGATAGATCCAAGCCAATGATGTACGTACTGACGCCGCGACCGCCCGTCCGCTTCGCTTGCTCTTTTAGCCGCTTTGCTTCCTCGGTCTTCTTACGCGTCAGCTTATCAGCCTTCCACTTCGCAAGTGACTCCTCCGTAACAGGTGTGCCTCCATTGGGACCTAACCTAGCACGCTGCTGTTCGATGATTTCCTCAATAGAGATCTCCACCATCTTTTTTGACTTCTCAAGCTCACGATCCTTCTTCGACTTGAACACATACCCAACAGGAAGTGCGTGACGGTACCTACGCAATACGCCGAAACAGTCGGTCGGTCACACACTACTCATCATGCGAGGCAAAGCATGACGCAATGAAAACCTACTTGCATGAGGTACCACCGTTGGGACACACCCAGAACCAACCATACAACGACTTTTCAATTGCATCCAAAAAGTATTTACACACAATTTCCGTTTGCTTCGTGTGTTTCTCGTGGTGCTTTTCATTGACCACTTTTTCCAGTTTTTCCTGATCCCATGTGTCCATTTGATCTAATACGAGCATCACAGCATGTCAACCGCAAGATACAGTTGGCAGCAGTACCAGCATTCAAAAAGGCTCGTAAAGCAACCCTCTCATCACCTGCTTCCTTCTCAGTACGGTTGTCCGTATACAAGTCAATTTTAGCGGCCTTCTTTCCCACCATCAAGTCATGCGAAAACTTGCACCGGACTCCCTACACTACCAATGCCACATACACCCTCTGTATGAACAAACTGCGCCTTATCCACTGTTTAAAACCCAACCACAGTGCCACCTTAGTGCATACGCCAGCCTTGAAAAAAGCACAAAGCATCAACTTAGGGTCCGTTCCAGGAGGAAGCTGTGCAGTGTCATCATTCACAATGTAAGTCAACATCTGTGCAAGCCAAAAAGTAAGAGCAGCCAACTTACAGCGGGCTGCCTAATGGAAGCTGCGAATAGACTCTTAAGGTTCTCCTGCTCTGCCTTTGCATCTTTTTTTTCGCTTGGCCTCCTGCTCCTTCATGCGGTCAGCACGAGTAGTGCCGCCCGCGACTTGCTTGGTCACCTCCTGAATATACTTTTGCACATTCTTACTCTTCTTTTTGTTCTTAAGACCAAAGGTCTTATCCTCCAACACCTTCTCCTTCTGCTTCACCGCAGCCTTCTTTGAAGGTCCCGATCCTGCGGCTTTCTTCGGCGGCATCGTCTTTGATCGGCGGAGACGCAGCAGCGACCTTGTCAGCGTCCCTGGTTGGCAATCGCTCCAAGCACACTCTCAAGTTGATTGGCGGAAATTCGACTCGTGCATTTCGACGAATCAAATACACCCGATTCGTCTCGTTCCAATAATCACACATGGTCCTATCACAACTATGGCTGTGGGGCTCAATGGAGTCGCGCGCTGTGTCACACTTCAGTCACAAATGTATGTAGTTGGCAAAAGAAGTTGAAGGCAGCGCACTTTGCTATTCGCGACAAAGTGAGTTGGACATATGCCTGTACGTACTTCAGTTTGGCGTGACGTGCTCGTCCAGAGCTGCTTTCATTAGTTTTACCAACACGAGCGGGGAGGCGCTGAAGTGACGTTTGAGGTTGAGGTGGCGACATCTGCCGCCACGTCAGGCTAGTCACAGCGACTCTGATGTCGACCATTTTCTTCTCTTGTCTCAGTTAGTTTGCCTATAGTAAACGTGAGGAGAGGCAGCTCAGCTCGGTAGTGGCAAGGATGTAGATGGACTCAAACCAGAGGGCTCAAGCCGTGCACCACAAAAATGGATTATCCAAAAGCTGGATGGAGCGGCGCGAAGCCCTTAGCGTCTTTTTGCGCCGAAACAGCTCTGTTGCTGTGGCATCGACGTCGCTTAACATGCGCCGACGGTGTGTAGGCAATCGAAGCTTTGGAGTATTAAAGTGTAGACATGTGGCTTTGGCCATGTTTATTTTGTTCACATGATAAGTGAACGCCTCAGTTTCCTCGAATTATCCCAATGAATACTCGTTTGCTTCGGCGCTCGTAATAAACAGCACTCAGGAAGTGTGTGCTACGTCAGTGAACTTAGTCTCGCTTCGCCGAGTAAGGGGCGACGCGTCCAGTTCGAGTTGGTGGTTCTTGCTGGCGTCGGAGACACCAGGCTTCGTGTCGCCGTGGTCAAAGTACAGCTTCAAACTCAGCATAAGGAGCCCCGCAACCTCTTCGACGGCGGCAGGAATGTAGATCGGCCACAAGTCTTCGCCGATGCCGTAGACCAAGATGAGTCCAATGCCAAGACAGTATAGCAGCTGGAAGCGGAGACTGATGTCCTCGGCGCTCTTGGTCCTGCACACCTTCATCATCTGCGGCACCAATGAGCTGGCGATCACAAAGGACCCCATCATGCCGATTGTTTGATACACAATGCCCATTTTCTTAGTAGGAGAAGATGCACAATCGACGTTCTCAATTTTGTGTTGTCTTAACAGCTCTCGAAGCACGCGTGAAGTCGGCGAATGAGTACATTGGAAGGGCAGACGGCGTCGTGCGAGTTGAGACACCACGAGGCGTGACCTTTCGACATGAGAAACGGCGACATCTCAGCTGCATCCTTGATCGAACTCGGGCGGATGGAGTCCTATTCTCTCACCAATAGGAACTGCTGGAGAGTCAAAATGCCGTATCAGAAGAAAAAACGAATTGATGGATGTGCACTACGTCGCAGTTCGTCTACCTCACTAGATGTACCGACAACGGAGCAATCCGTTTTTGAATTACTAGGGTGTAACAGTCACAGTTGCTGATAACAATAGAAGGGACCACCGCGCAGTTTGTCGGTCATACATCCACGATTGAATATCCAGCCTTCGATGGCATGGAAAGCGCCTCGGCGCAAACCTTCGCCGGATACACCTGAGTAATCACTGACAGTCTCGAACATCGCATTGCTATCAGAGTGGAGATCTCTTTATTGATCTCTTCGCGCGCAGGAGTATTAGAAATCTATAACAACCGCCGCATCGAACCACTGAGTCGAGCTGGGGTAGATGTATGCGGTTTGAACATCTAGTGGCGACAGCCTTCTAATCACCTGACAAAAGCTAGAGCAGTATCCATAACTCGCATTGTGTGAGGTGATGGAGCTGCGGTGGGTAAGACGCATCCGCTGCAACCTGTTTTTTGTGTTCTAGACCCACTGCGGCGTCCGTGAGGTAAACGATCGCCTGTGCGTTGAACAGTGATCAGTACAGAGACTATCTGGTTCGATGCAGATTTGTGCGACTTCCGTCAATGATCACTCAGCTAGCAAAATGTCTGTGTGTCCGTGGGGTAATCGACACTCTATTGCGAGTTCGGAAAGTTCTCAGTGAGTATGCGTAAGTTGATAGCTGAACTTCCCTGAAGCTACTTTATGTGTGCATGTAAACCGCAAAGGAATTATGTAAAGGTTCCACGTGGTGCGATCTGGCTGTCATCTCCTTTTGTGTTAGTTATGCACCATAGCGCATAGTCATTATTAGCTTGTTTATAAAGGTAATTGAAATATTTGTCGAATCTCTCGTTGAACCTCTTATTGTCCATCCCTTCGAACCTTTTGTCCCGTCAGACTCTATCTCCTAAAGTACTATGAAAACCTCAACTGTTGGTTGAGCGATGAAGTAGGTCGCTGCTTGAAGCGTGCTCAATCATTTCCAAGATAGGACCGCTAACTTTCTGTACCAATGCTCACGTCAGCAAGCATTATAAGTTGTCTATTGTTGCGTCAGCCCAGCTGAAGTGCACAAAAGACCCCGACATCGAATGACAATTTTTATGATCAAGTGCTGTGGTTCGTGATATCAAAAGGAAGCGTTATAGGTGGCTGCGTTGGTCAAATTATTCAGTTCAGAGATGTATCTACCAGCACAACATTCCAGACGCACTAGCACCTTTGCACGTTCGGCGTACGTGCTTGTGTGTAACTATCTAAGGAGACTATTTTCCAAGTGTGTTGACTTGTAACAACGACAACATTTTTAAAAAGTACTGTGAAGATTGATCAACTGTGGCTTGCTGTTCAAATGTCTATCTCTGCTTTCTTTATGTAGATGATGGATGGGATGCACTCGTACGAAATCGCCACAATCATGGAGATGCTGCAGCTTCTATCGCTGTTGACTCTGTAATGAAACATGTAAACAAGCTCTCGTCCGTCCACGAAAACCTGCTGTGTCCACTAGACATAAATACAAACATATGGCACCAGACTGAGCATGTCGTGACCAGCCTGCTTTTATCCTGCATCAGGCTTGCTCGCTTTCCTCGAAGTATCTCGCATATTCGCAGCGTGTGTACGTGGAAATCCAGTTGCGCCACTTTTGTAAGCTCAGTGGATGTTGTGCGCTCGAACGTGAGAAAACACAACTTGAGGAAGTACTCGTCAAGGAGATTATGCCGAATAGCAGTACAGCTGCCCACGACCACCTTGACACTATAATTAATATCACCTGACTGACACGCATTGCAAGTGCTGCCACGAATCAGGCCATAGCACGCCAAAGCAAAAAAGAATTGAGCTGCGAATTCAGCTTTGACGTGCTGAGCCCGGGCCCGGCGGAATAGTAAGATATACTGTCGGTGTCGCGGACGTCAAGGGCGAGCTCAAGAGGTGGTGGTGACCGCCATGATCCTGACCTGTTATACTCGTGGTGTTTTCGGGTTGGAAAGCTCACTCCAGAACGTATGGAGGTTTAACGTGTAGCAGATGTAGCTGTTTTGAAGATGCTTTACAAGCGGCGGTTAACTGAACCTCTCCTTGAAGCAGTATTTTAAGTGCTTGAATTGCAGCTCAACTACCTTTATAAACAGGCTCTTCGTGAAAAGAGCAAGATACCAGTCAGCTTAGTATACTTCTGAAAAGATGGTGACGGACATGTCCATGCAAGAGCGAAAGTTCAGGATACAGAGGAAAGTCATTCAACTAGATGCAATGCCATTAGCATGTGGTTATATTGGGGCTGTTCTTTTAGGAGGGCGTCATTGACGGTGTGACATGCTTTCTCCTGGACTTCTTAGACCATCCATCGAGCCGAGTGAGCGCAGGTGTGCCCAGCGTCATAGACCATCACGTTTACGATCGAAAATCGGTTGTTGATAGGTTGAACCGCGCTCTACAAGGGACCGTGGAACCAGCTGCAGATGATGTTCCATGCCTTTATCTTAGTGGCACTGCTGCCGTGTTCCCCCCTAAAACGTTGACGACCGAACCTCTCATACTGTTGTCGGTGCTCGTGGAAGTCCTTGTCCTCGTCTGTAGTGTGATATTGACGTGAAAGTGGGTAGCTGCGTTGGGGCAATATAAACGAATCAGTTAGCGCAGAAGGGATGGCAAATGAAGTAAATAAAGGGTGAGACCGCGTTTGGATGAGGGACGCGCAGTCTCGATGCCTGGTGATTTGCTTGAGTTGGTGCGTCGTGCGCATTGTTTAGTTTTAGCTTTTGCATTGAGGTCTCGCGCTCCTTTATTGCCATCTAAGACTTGATGGTCGTTATCTAGATTCATGATGAAGCGATTGACAAAGAATGCGAGCTTCGTCACGGTTATTATTCAAAGACGATCACGAACTCACGACTGCTTGCTGAGACCACCTTGTAGTTCGACCATGCTGAAAATCATTTCTTTTGGGAAACGATCAGTCGAACAGTTCACAGCATTGAAGCCAAGCTCAATTTCCTGCTACAAGCTCAGAGAGATAGCAATAGCACGTTCTTATCGTTTAAACGTTGAACGATTGCCGTAAGGCATATCCAGGCTAAGTCGTCTCGTCGCAGTTACCCTTGCAATGGCCCAATTGCTAACATCCTTGTGATAGTAAAGATATCAGTGCGTTTTGCCTGATAGAACATACTTGCAGGTGCCGAGAGGAGGGCTACCACCTCGTCTTCGCGAGGACGACGACAAATCAACCATAGAACATTGCTGAAAGCAAGGACTGTTACGATTTTTGTCGGATGTAATGTATACGATAGCTGCTGCTGGACTGAGGGCACCGTGCTATGTCATCGTTCGCCCATTCTGAACATTGCAGGGATATCTGCAGGGAAGTTGTTGCCGTCATTTCGTCATTCTTGCTTGCCCGGTTGCTGTTTGTCAATCTACTTCAAACTCAAACTTTGGCGGTTGTCACGCTGCTGCAACTATGCAATGAGCGTGCTGGATACTGCAGATCACATTAGCATTGTCCCGAAAACGA